TGTCCTGGGAACGTCCCTATCGCAACTCTCTTGTCGCCTTTCACCCTTTCTTTGATTGCCGCTGCGCATCAGGGAACGGTACCGCCATCTAGTGAACACTGCAAGAACTAAACTAGAGGTGGCTACATACAGGCTACAGGGGACGCACAGCCCACGCCCTAAGGAGCTTCGCCCCTAAAATAACCATGAGAAAACAACATTGTATTTCGGAATCTTCGGTCATAGTATGGTGATTCGTGAGGTCGGTATCGATATGTTATTCGAATCCTTAAGCAAGATCGCCTTCAGAAATGACCTACGTACGAGATCGCGGTAAGGCATTGTTTCAAACAAACTGTTAACTGACAATTTGCTCACCTCTCCCCCTTCTCCTGCTCCAACCTTGTTCACCGTTCCGGCCCTTGCCTGAACCGATTTCGTTACTCTGGCCCGCCAGCTGAGCTGAGTTTGATACGCCTGTTTTGTGCAGTAAGAGTAGACTGCCAAAGGTAAATAACACAATATTTCAAATTGGAAATCATCAACCTTACCTGTGAACATAACTTGCCGACTATAGTTAGATGTGAGTATAACGGAAGTCGGTCAATTTTAAACAGAAATAAATTGAACATTTGTAAAATGTTCACTACTGAAAATGTACAGGAAATAAGGTACGACTATTTCAAATGAAGTAATTTAATTTTTCTGTCGTGTAGCAAGCATTGTTGCGCCAGTGAGCAAGCTATGGGTATTGAACTGAGTACGAGATATTGAGAACTTCGTCTCAACTTGTCTAAAGTGCAGTTTGAAAGATTTACTTATATGAGCGAACGAATCTATAGAGCATCAGAAGAAATTATCTAATACTTTATTCATCGCCCCTACAATATGGCTGTTGGCTAGCGATTCTTTCTCTTCTTTTATTGGTTAGAAAGGGCGCTTATCCACAACAGGAAACTACTGTCAACAGATTAATTACAATGGCCCCCATCCCCATCCGACCCCCCTCTCCTTTTAGCAAAGATAATCTTAATGATAATGAAAGTGTTAATCAAAAAGTATCGGTGCGCCTAAGTTGAACTAAAAGAGTGCGAATATTATGTAAATTTTAAAAGACGATTTTCATGCACGAGAAATAAAGACAATCTGGAAATTTAACTATCGATTGTCGTTTCGTGTAAGGGACACACGTGTTAGTCAATCTACACTCCTCTTTTTAATGAGCAATGAAGATGCTCTGAAGGACAAAACATTAACTCACGTGATCACGTCATCACATGGCATCCGTGCTTGGTGCAATGGGATGTTAACATAGAGGCAATGCAAAACCAGTTTCGCACTGCCTTCCTTTTTGGAGGCAGTGCAAACCTCATGAGGCACAGCAAGTTTTCAAAGGGTGGTGTGAATGGTGGCGGGCTGGGGCGTTGGTCGGGGGGTGCAAGAGGGGCACTGGCCTCCTTCAAACCACACCAGCACCTGCCCACGCCCAAGCTACACCAGTGCTTTCCCCCAGCCACGACGCAACACGGGTTCGCACCCACGGTAAAACCCCGCTGACAGTCATAGACTGGTGGGATAGGATCAGTACATCGACAGAGAAGAAAAAAGATGGCCTTCTCCATCAAATCATCTTAGGTGGATGAACAGGGGACCCTGGGGTCCCCTATTTATCCTCTCGCCTTGATGAATTCGCGTATATATATAGTTAATTACAGGGTAAGCTGCAAGTGTAACATCCCAGCCCCATAATCATAGTGAGGACACAGATCACAAAGGTCAAACTTAGCTGCAGCACCAGAAACGTCGAAGCCATGAAGTAGCACCAATAATGTAAGTGTTGAGATTAACGCCCCAAAACGACCATGCGATTATAAGAGACCCTGTAGTGGAGGGCTCCAGAAATTTAAGCACACGGGCCTCAAGCATTTTCGCCGCCATCGAAAATTCGGCCGCCGAGACCGGGATTCAACCCCGCGACCTGCGGGCTAGCCGCCGAGGGCCTTAGTCACTAGACCACCGTGGCGGGTAAGCAATGAAGGAAACGTCAAGTGACGTGTTATCACATCCCAGAACCGAGCAAGTGTGTCCACCGCTTCCTTATTCGGCGTCTTCAGTGGTGATTACGGTTATTTGCGACGAACAACACAGTCTAGTATGCGTGAATGAAAGTCAGAGCGATCAGAAGAGGCGTTTCTTCACAATAGCAGCGCCTTACACCAGCAAAACCACTCGCGCGCACGATGAAAGCAGGTGAAGGCGAAAAAGCGTCGTCTGCTCTGACCGCCGGCGCTCCGCTCTCCCTTAATTCCCCAACGCCGATCCACCAGGCAAAGGCGTGGCGATTTCTGGAAAGGTCCATTGGCCAAGAAACGAAGATTTAGTGTAACACATTTTTTTTATTATGAAACGAAGGAGAAGGTATAATTCGATCCCTTGTGACGGGCTTTCTCAAACCTTCTGTCCTTGCAGAGCTCTAACGGCTTTGGCAGGATGCTGCAGAATCATTCAGTGGTTCTTCAGCATGAAGACCATCGTAAGCGGGAAAGGTGGAGAGGGGGGTTGGTGATGACACCGCTCGATGCACGCTACCACAGTACTAACATTACCCAAATCGTAACCTCCCTGTCGTTCCTTCTTTCTTCCTCCTCCTCCCCCTTGCCCGGATTGGTTTGTTCTTTCTTTATTAAAGAGGGACATCGCCATTTATGTAGCACTGCCGATATTAGGTAAACTTGCAGTGTGAATAATGCGGTTGCGCGAGTCGAAAAACGTCCCCCCCCCCCACCCACTCTGTTTTCAATTATTTTCATAATTAAGAAAAGGTAAGGCGTACCGTGGCACTCTGAATCTGGAAAAGCCGGGCCATATATATTGAGAGCCTCTGACCTGTGGTATAAACACCATTAACATCAAGGGCGTTATCTTCGTTTAGGTAGAATTTTCCGTAATACGAGGAATAAATCCCAAGCAGTTGAACTCTGCTAAAATTAAATAGGAGTTGCTCAGCAGCAGCTTTTCTATATTCAAAACAAACTGAGTATTATGTCACATAATGCAGTCGCCCTTTTTCTTCCTACTTCACCTGCATTACCAAATGCTCAAAAAGACAAGCACAATAAAATACTGCTTGAACTGTATTCGCTTCTTTCTTCGTTGATAATTTTTTTAACATTTCATGCTTCTTACTTCATTATTGTCTCTCATAACGGCAAAGCGGTCATCCTAAATAAATTCTGCTCTGCTTGATGGCTACATTGTAAAAACAGAACATGAATTGTTAATAAATGTAGTCCTGCATCTGTTCTAATCAATAAACGCTTGAAGAACAGCAACGTTAAATCTTGGCGTTTGGAATAAACATAAAGAAATATTTTCTGTTTGAGAAAGCCATTTACGTAGTATACTTACTTTGTGTTACCTATATTCCTTCATTTCCTACGATGTTCGAAGTGAACTCAAGTTTTACCATCAAAACTTCCTGAATGCATGCACGTTTTCGCAAGGTATGCCCTGTCAGCTTGCATACATGATCAATCCCCACGTCTATTGCATATATAAAAGAACAACAACTAGCAGCAGCATAAATATTTTTGTCCTCTTTCAGTTTTTTCATAATAGTGTAAAGAACTACTCCCCCTAACAAGAAAGAGTTCATTTGCGTAAACTATCGAACAATTACTTGCGCTCGCACTACACTACACCACCATTCTAAAGCGGGTTGTTTGAAAAATAGCCCTGTGGCTTAATAAAGCATATGCCCATGGTGAGCCAAATAACCCTTTTTATTTTTATAATGTGCACGCACTGGTTCTTCAGCAACTTACTTCTCTCTGAAAATTATTGTCACGAACAAATACAAGAACAAAAATACAGTTATAAAATAATCGTACATATACACGAGGTGCACAGACCCGCATGGCTAGATGAGTGTAAAACTTTTAGTAATTCACAAACTAATGACGCAGACATCTTATTCGGCAGCTTGAAAAAAAATATACTATATCAATGTAAGCCTTGGACGGGGGAAGCTAGCAAAAGCAAGATCCGAAATGTTCCTAATGTCGCGAGGAGGGATGACTGCGAGAGCTAGTGGTCGATCTGGGGCTCTCAGCACTAGCCCTGCCTTCGCGTGTGTCGTGCATGCTGGAATCGGGCGTTCCCTTCACGAGATTCGTGGTGCGCTTGCTCATAGACGGCACTCGGCAGCGTTTCGTTTTGGCCCGCTCGACGTTCGTGGCATGTGGCAGAACGTCGTGCGCGTATATCAACACGAGGAGAAGTATGGCGGCCACCGCGTGCCCAATGTCCCTCCGGCCGGCCCTCTGTAACGCTCGCCCAGCGATGGCAGAAAGGCAGCCCAGACGACCGCACGCGAAAACCAAGCCTACTGCCGAGCCACGGACAGCAGTAGGGAAGATCTCCTGGACGTAGACGAGGCACACGATGGAGCCACAGCAGTACAGTGCAGTGCTCACCATGATCAGGATTCGACACACATCTTCACCTCCGATGCCGAAGGCGAGTCCCAGTAGACACTGGAGCACACCGAGTATCATGAACCATATGTTCAAGACAGTAACCATGCTGAACCTGCTGATTAGGCAATCCACCACCACATAACATAAAATATTCATTGTGAATGAGACGTGGTCGAGCCAGGACTCCTTTCGCCGCATTAGTGAGAACGCGCTGACGAAAGTGGCGAAAGTGATTGAGAAATACGAAAGGCTTAATATCAGAGCCCACCGCCGCATGGAGTAGCCGTTGAGCATCTCCTGGTCAATCGAAGGAAGTCGTATCTCGTTTCTGATGAACTCCGCCTTCAGTTTGTCGACTGTCGACGCCATGCAGTGCATGGGAAAGTGGTTGACCACCGCGGCATCCATCATAACCGCTTCGGCGTGCCTGACGCGACCCCTCGCTATCAACGAGCGCGGTGACTCACTGGCAAAGCAGAAGGCCGGTACCATCAGCACCGTAGGGAGCATGAAAACGGCGTACCTCAAAGCCCAAATTTTGACCTACGCAACAGTGGCCTCCCATATGTCGGAAAACAGCACTGCCAGCATTCCAGCGAAAATGATTTGCAGAGGCCGGTTGCTGTGTGTGGTGACCTCGAACACGGAGGTTATGGTGGTAATCATGACTGCGGACACGCCACCAGAGCTAAAGAACTTCGCCACCACGAACGTGTGGAAGCTTCTGGAAAGGCATCCGATCGCTGTGGAGATTATCAGAACCACCACACCCGCAAGGAGCACGGGCATTCGACCCACGCTGTCGGCGAGGCATCCGGCCGCAGCTGAGAATAAGCAGGAACCGAAGCAGTGGACGACGACCATGACAATGATGAGTGTGTCTCTCTGACAGACCAGGTTCCAGTCACTCACGGCGCTTGTCCGTGCCGGCTCGTCGTCGTCTCCGTACTCCCACTCATCGCAAAGTATCGTCTGTGGGGTAGTGCCATTCGGTTCTTTCGGGTACTCGTAACGGCGGCAGCGGCTCGTTTTGCCATCTGGTTCTTCCGGAAGGAACGATCCTCTCCATTCGACCACAGAGATGTTCGACTGCGGCGGTGGCGCAGGTAGCTTGCACCAGTACTCCACGTCTTTCAGAATCAAACGGTACGCAAAGTCGTGAACGTTGAAGAGAAAAAAAAGCGATGGTGCAGAGCAGCAGCAGGCGTCTTTGAAAGGGTCCGTGACCGAAAGCGTCGTAGCAGTCGAAGGACTCACTCGTCGAGAGGTCTCTCAACAGCAGCCGTTGAGGGAGCAGGATGTCCATGTTTTGTATGGCGGTGTCTTGTTTGATGAAACGCCAGCTGTTTCGTCTCACGTATGCGGCCTTTTACCTTTCGAGACGTAGCGAATACTGTCACTATGGCTGCTTTTCAGGCACGCGCAAGAATTCACTTGCTTTCTTGCTTGCTCCTTCTTAATGGCGCAAACCCACTGCGGAGAATCGGTCAAGAAGCCTACGGTAAAGCTAATGTAAATGTTGAAACATAAAGACAGCGTGGAAGTACAAAATCGCCTTTTACAGAATTCCTGCAAATCGCCTTTTACAGATGATGATGATGATCATGATGATGATGATTAGGACATTGGCACCTACCCACTCAGGGGAATCGGCCAAGAGTCGGCCGGATCATACATACTGAATTTATGATAAATATTAGGTAAGAGCTAAAAAATTCTGATGTAAATTTTTAATGTAATGTTAATTATAGATGATGTATTGTTAATTATGAATAATTGTAATTTTGAGTTGCACTATTTTGTGTAACCTCCGAGTGACTGAAGATCTTTTGAGTAGGAAAGCTGAATAAAGAATTGTTAGTAGTTGATACACCTACCAAATCTATTCGAGTAGCATATAAAATTGTCGACAGCCTTGAAAATATTCCTGTTCGAGTGTCCCAGCGAGGCTCCAAATGATAACAGAATGGCGGACGTAACCCGTAGACCACATTTCCGCAATTGAAATTTCGATACTTCGTTTTATTGCGATAACGATCATATGGACATTCTCGGCTGGATTTTAGCGCTGGCGTGGGCGTCAGCGTCACCGTCACTCACTGTATCTGTATACGTATCTATATATATGAACATTCTAGAAAAAAAACAGAAAAACACTCCAGCGCAAGGAATCGAACGTGTGACCACTACACCATGAAAACGAGGCGTTAACCACTGAGCCACCCCGGAGCACTCCCTTCACCGTTCAAACGGCAAGTTTTTTTTTTAAATCTACCACTTACCGCTGCTCTCGAGCATCTCGGGGGGAATCGTGTTTTCAACATTACCAGCAAGATGGCGCATTGAGCACATGTCGCCACATCGCGTGGCGGTACCCGCTCTAATCTCCTACGCTTACTTTGCCCGGCTTAGAGAAGGGGAGCGACTCTCCCTCCCGCGCCCTTATCTCGCGGTGGCGAGGAAGGGAGGATCGTACTTCTTGGCTGGCCTCGGGCTTTACCTGGGACGATTCTGCTGTAGTTACCGGGCGTACAAAGTTCACTGCAATCATTGCAGTCACCGTTTCGAAACTGTTAATAATTTCTATCTAACAGGTAAAGAAGGGATTCATTATTCCTTATATGAAACAGAGATAGCTACATATCTGGGTAACCCCAGGCACCAGCAGAGTGCTTGGCGCTCAATTAGAACTAACGGACGTAACTTCTATGCGGGTACGCCAGAAAATAAGGCACACCCAAACTCCAGTGTTATGTTTTGCCGCTCATAAGTTGATCGTGCGGATGGGAAAGCACCAGAAGCTACGTTATTCAAAGCCTCTTTCTCAGATCTCTCTTGGCAAGGTCGCAATTTGCTTCCTTTGAGCATGGGACGACAGCGCGGGAAGCTACGTTATACAAAGCTTCTTTCTCGACTCTCTCTCGGTATGCCCATGTAACTATACACCACTTATCCTCTGGAATGCAAACTACGTCCGTCCCCTCCGCTGCCGGGGACAAACACACAATGTGAAACGAACCCGCTCTGCCAACCGGCTTGGAATGTTTGTGGTTTAGAGACAAGTCGCCCCTGCCGGGGGCAAATGCACAATGGGATTAAGCGACCCCGTCCTGCCTCTACTGCCGGGCGCGAGCTCAGTGGAAGTAGGCGACACGCTCTGTTCTGGTGATCGGCTCAATTTCGCAGCGATGCACGACCCGAGCACAAGGTAAGCAGAGAAAGTCAAAGGCCGCTTGCTACCTGCGGGGGCAATCACGTTCCGCGCGCAATAATTCAATTTCCGGCTTTGGAGGTTCGTCTCGGCTCGCTAGGTGTGGAAAAGGGCATGAATGTACCGGGTCTACAATGCCGATATCTCCCGAGCGTTAGAATTCCTGAGCGCGTGGGAGGTGGAGAGAGAGAGAGACATGATGGGAAAGAGTACCAAAACGCCTGTTTAAACTGTAGAAGCGCTGCTGTCGAGAGTAAGGTCAGCCCAGTAACAGATTGGACGAGAGAATGTTGGGGCGGACCAGCAGTGGCCCCCTCCCCTTTTTCTTTGTTACCGCAAGATGCTTAAGACTGGAGGGAATCCGTTTCTCTTCAGTCGAGGCTGCAATCACTTAACTGATAGATCAGTACGACTCCGTACGATGCAACTTTTGTCTGGGCCATAACCACTTGGTGGTCGAACAGTGAGACTAAGTACGTTGTATGTAGTAACAGTGTTCTAGGCTCTAACTTAAGAAAAGTTAAGTAGAAGAGTAAGACGCTGTTGATGTCTGTGTTATCATGAGGGTGCTCCGGCAAGATGTTCATATGACTGTAAATATTTAGCTGTAATATACCTTCAAGTTTTTATTACCTCCAACCTGCCTCCTGCTTCATCGACGCCGATCATCTCCTTGACGGGACTTCAATCCACATCAAGGAGATCAACGAACGAGAAGGAAACTTAACTTCCAGTATAGGGCATATGTACATCCAGTAAATCATATTTAAGGCGTCTGTCCGCATACCTCAACGACTATTACTAATTCTTCTGAGTAGGCCCATCGCGCATGACCCTTTGGTCACTGTGTGTTCAATATGCATACGCCAGTTGAGCTTTCCATCATAGATGATTCCGAAGTACTTGACTGTTTGCACTTGAGGAATATCTGCTTGGTGGAATTAGAGGCATCTATTTATAATGTCTGGCAGGTAGAACGCTTGAACTGCACATTTCTGTACATTAAGGGTAAACAAAATACTGTCTAGCCAAGCTTCCAGGGTAGATAAGTATCTTAATAAAAGTGTATAAAAAGATTGAGTGTCTTCCGGAGATGCAAAGAATGCTATATCATCCACCTAAACATACGTGTTGATTCTTCGATGACGAGGAATGGAGCTAAGCAAGATATTAAATAGTAATGGGGACAAAACCGCTCCTTGGTGAACACAACGTATCTGTCTGATTTTCTTTGTTGATATCCCACTCTGTACAGAGTAAAACTCCCTGTCCAGCAAGAACTCAGTCGTTCATGCAATAAATAAGTCACGCAAGCCAATCTCTTTCATCCTTTTTAGTAAAATTGGGTATTCGACACTATATATCATAGGCTTTAGAGATGTACAGTGTAAATAATGCTGCATACTGTTTCTGTCGCCGTGCTAGCTGGATTCTGTTCTCCAAATCGACGTGAGCACACCAGATTGAGATTCCTGTTCTAAAACGAAATCATTAACTGTCGCACGCTCTCTCGGGCCTCCTCTCTCTTTTCTACTTGACTCCTAGAACACGTATGCTTATTTGTCCAGCGATGAATGCACCAACTCTGGTGGACGAGAGAACAAATAAAGAGGGAAATAAAAACATGAGATAAAGAAAGAAAGAGATAGAAAGAAATAGAAAGATATGAATTCAAGGCGATTTCTTGGCTAGGCGGGATTCGAATCCACGTACCCACCCTTCGAACGTGAGCGCCGTTCACTCGGCTACGTACCCAGGCACGCTTGCAGAGCATAGCATATAGTCATGCATATTACGCAGTACCAAGGCGATGGAAAAGAAATGGGAAGGTGGAGGAGAGAGGGAGAACAAGGCAACGAGTGCAGAGAGAGATTGAAAGAAAGGGAAAAAATAAAAACGTGTAAGGCAAGAAAATGACTACACTGGTACAGGAAAATGAATACATAGAAAGAAATAGAAAAGAAATCATAAACAAAGAAGGAGAAAAATAGAGTCAAAAATAGAAAGACGCCAAAAGGAATCGACAAGCCCAGAAACAGCTAGAAATAAACTAAGAGAACTAAGAAGAAAAAGGAGCAAACGTGGTCATGTACGCTATAGTAAAAAGTCGAAAAGAGAGAGTAGAGTGAGCAAAAGCCAAGCCAAGCCAGTACCAGCTAAGTGCCCACAAGTTCTACTACAGTGTCTAGAATATTCTAGGCACTGTAGTTCTGCCATGATGTTGTAAATCATCCTTGAATGGCTTACTGTAGGCTGCAATAATTGTTTCAGGTGAATAGGGTGTATATTCCATTATCAAAAAAAATGCGCGAAAAACGCGAACAAAGAGAGAAAGAAGCAGCACAAGCTCGCACTAGCAAATGAAAATTTTATTGAAAACACGTAAGTTATGAAGAAGGAAGGAAGGAAAATAGAGGGAAAAAAAGGCAAGGAGGTTAACCCGTCTATAGGCAGCCGGTTTGCTACCCTGCGCATGGGAGAGGGTTGGGGGAGATGAAAGAGAGCAGAGAAGGAAGATAGAAACAGCACATTTGGCAGCACATGCGCGCACACTCAGTCATAGTCCAGTCTTGTCTTTCGCGGTGTGTGACATTGCTTTTACAGTCGCTTGTTCAAGTCGGTGTCGCATAGGAATTTCAACAGAGCTTTCGTCGCCTTCTGTTGCAGAGTCTTCTCTCGGGCACTTGACAGAATAGTGTCCACAGACATTTGGCTGTTGTCGATGCGCGCAAAAGCGGACGCCAGTGACTGTCTCTGGATTTCATACAATGGACAGTCACACAGGATGTGTTGTAGCGTCTCTTCGCAATGACAGGCATCGCAGAGAGCGTTGTCGGCCATTCCTATGACAAAGGAGTAAGATTTTGTAAATGCCACTCCTAGCCATAAGCGATGAAGTAGGGTGGCTTCTCTTCGGTCGAGCCCAGTGGGCATGCGGAAAACACAATAAGCACACATGCTTGCTCCAAAACCAGAAAACTACGATTGCGTGTTTATATAACCTTTATTTCTCTGGTGCAGTGCTGTGGGGGGCTTGGCAACACAACTATTTGCGGCTTTGAAAATAAAATAGTCTTCAACAAACCAAGGAATCA